CGGATTCTGCAAACCCTCGCTCCACCATCTCGATGCCCGCAACCCACTCGCAGTTCAACGCGGCCAGACGCGCCCGTACTCGGAGCCGCCTCGTCCTCGTAGCAATGCAAAGCAGTTGGCGCGCGAGTGTGTGGCGATGCGCAAAGGTTTTGGGGGGACAATGTGTGGGCATCAGCAGCCGCGTAACGCCGCTTTGAGAGCCGGAACCCTGCGCCAGAACCAGCTCGTGAGAGGCACTTCAACCCCGTCATCCCCAGTCTCATCCAACAGCATTATTATCCAAAGGACGCCGGTATCGCCCGATCCTGCTTCCACCTCTGCAGAAAGATTCCCGCCAATGCCTCACTCGCTGCCTTTGTTGCACTCGAGAGCTGTGGACAGTCGCACTGCATCCCAAGTGTGTGGCGTCGGCCATGAAAGATGCGCTGGGTATTAGACGATGCACTACTGTTCCGCTTCGTGCGAGGCGCTGCTCTTGCCCGCCGCCGAAAAGCCGGACGTGTCGGGGTCGAACCACTCGAGCTCCCCACCCCCGCCCGGTGCGTGTGCGGGCAGAGCATCTTCAAACTCCGCTTCGCCCTCCTCCTCTTCCCACTCCTTGTCCTTCTCCTCCTTTGCGTCGGCGGCGAGAGGCGGCGGCACGATGGTGGTGTCTGCCGAAGCATCGGCGCGCACGGTCGTCGAGGCCGAGATGGATGCAGACGGGGTATGCGTTGAGCTCGATGCGGTTTGCGAGAGCGATGGCGACGACATTGCGGGCGAGCCCTGCTCGAGGCCCGCAGACCCAGGCGGTAGCGGTGCATCGCGACCCGACCGTCGATCCCTCCTCCTCGTCGGCCTGAACGCGCTGCTTGTCGCCACCTCGCCGCCCTCTTCTCCGCCCTGCAGTTTCGCCAGCATGGCCGCGGCAACATCCGACGGGTTGCCCTTCTCCCCCGCAACCCCGGGCCCCGAGCCGAGCGTCGAGTCCTCCGACCCACCCGCATTGGACGCCGCATTGGTCTGTCTCCTCTCTCGCGCCTTGCGTCGCTGCTTGTTCGGCCCCCCTCCTCCACTGCGCAGCGACCCCAGCAGCGTTTCGAGCACAGCGCTATCGTCCACACCCGCCTCTTTGCGCGCGAGTGCCTCCTGCCGCTCGCGCTCGCGCTCCTCGGCCGCCGCCCGTCGCTTCGCCTCCAGTGCCCGCTGCTCGCCAATGCGTACATTGTCCAGCTTCACCTTCTTGTACGCCGCGAGGAACTCCTTGAAGATGCCGAAAAAGTCTTCGGTGCGCATCGTCTGGTTGGCCAGTTGGCCCAGCCCGCGCTTCTTGGGGTCAGGACCTTCGCCAAAGTACTTGAGCGCCTCGCTGTACACGCGCTCGGCAAACTGAACCTGGTCGTTGAGCCTCTGCAGCTCCGAAGCCGCATCGTTGAGGAAGGGCAGCATGATCTTGACGTACGGATCCTGCAGATTCTCTTCGTCCTCGTCCAGCAATCGGTCGAGCTCCTTGCGATGCTGGAAGCTGCCCGATTTAAGCTCGGCCAGATCGCGTCGCAGATCCCACAGCTGCACTCGGCACGCTTCGGCGGGCAGCTCCAGCTCGTCCATAAACGCCTCGACCTCGGGGAAGCAGCGCGAGATGGTGCGCTCGATAAAGTGCAGCAGCGTGGTGCCGTCCGACGCCTTGGTGTCGACGAGCTTGTTGATCGACGTGATCTTGAAGCCGAATGCGCCACCCTGCACGCCGGTCGAGTTGAGGTAGTTGCCCATCATGAGCACGAGGCTCAGCAGACGCGCAAACGACTTGGCCTTCATGAGGCCCTCGGACGCATCGCGCACCTTGACCGTGCCGCCCTTGATCAGGTCGAACGTCTCCTTGTAGCGCGTCATGTACAACAGCCCCTTGACTTTTTCTTTGAGATGCGGCACGGTCATGAGCAGCACCACCAGCCGGTCGGCCGGATGCAGCAGCCTGAGCTCCTCGTCCGACGCATTGCGGTACTCGCCCAGCTGACCCTTGGTCTCGGACTCGGGATAGTGGCGCAGCAGCTCCGTGAGGAAGCTCTGGTCGAGCACCGCGTCGTTGCAGTTGATAATGTGGTGCGCCACCTCCTCCGGCGACGCCTGCTTGCTTTCGGTCAGGCTCGACTTGACGCGCTTCAGCACCATCTCGATGCCCTGGCGCGTCTGCAGGCTCAGGTGCGTCTTGAGCTCCATCTTGTCCTTCTTGGCCATCGCCGCCGACTTCTTCACCGGCTGCTTCGCCTTGAAGTCCTCCTCCATCTCGTCGAACAGCCCCTCCTGCTGCAGCTGCCGCACAATCTGCTCCTCGTCCGCCGTCAGCTCGTGCTGCCCAAAGATCGTCTCGGCAGCATGCTGCGCTGACAGCTTGTCCCACTGCAGCTGCTTCATCTTGCTGCGCGCCATGGCCAGCACCTCCTTGCGGCTCAGCGCGTGGTTGACAAACAGCCCCGCCACGCCCGGCGCCGGCGGCGCCGCCACGGGTCCCGCCGGTCCGAGGTTCATTGGCGCATACGACGCACGCACGTTCATCATCGAGTTGCGGAAGAGGCCGTCCTGCATGGGCGACTCGTGCACCGATCCGGGCGGCGGCGGCGCGGGAGGCGCCGGTGTGCCGCCCACCGAGGCCAGCATCGATCCGGGCCGCGACGATTCGGGCGTGGAGAAGGCGGAGCGCATGCCTGGCGCGGGCGGCGGAGGCGGTGGCGGCGGTGGTGGCGGCGGCATGGCCGCTGCAT